ACCATTGCTTCCTCTGCACTGCTTACTTCCTTGGCCAGCACTTCTACCGCCTCTAACATATCTTTTTTTTGACTCTTTTAGAATACCACACGGCTGGGACTGAAATCTAGCCTTGTCCCCATCACTTATCGAAAATGAGTTATGATCTGATGAAACAGTAACCAAATTCTGCTCATTAGGTTCAAACAAAACATATTGATGTTGCTCTCCTACTGCCTCCACCCAAGACTCTTTAAGTTTACCATATCCCAATTTATTTAAAATCGAAGCTGGCCCAGAAATAGAAATTCTAGAATTATTTGAATTGGGCTCATTGAATTCCTTTGACTGGGCTTTATCACTTTCATTAAGAAAGACATTCCTTAATCCAAGACCTCGAAAATCCCCTTCCAAATTCAAATTTTTTCCAGGAAAGTCTGACACCTTTGCACCACTATGTTGACCTTCATTTTCCTGCGAAATTAAATGCTGCCCCCCTTTGCCGCCTGCCAAATATGCACCATCCACCCTTACCAACCCTTTGCCCCCTGCCTCTGATGTACCGACTTCTCCTACCAGCCTCCTGTCTACTTTGTCCCTAGATTCCCCAGCTAGCAATTCTAGACCGCCCACCCCACCTGAGTACCGATCCTCTTCCTCCTCTGATGAAGCTTCATCTCTGAACTCACATTCTCCGGCCACCATAGAATTTTTTGCAGAAAAACTCTATTGTTTTATACTAACCGATCCCACAGTAATTTTGACCTTAAAAGATCTCCCATACGAACCCAATGTAACAGATTCCTGAATATCGAAAGGACTGGCCACCCTCAATAGAACTCGTGCCACCGCCATGTCCTCTCTTCTGACCGTCGACTCATGAAAGCATACCAGCTTCCCCCATCTTAATAGAAGTTTTTCCAGAAAGGGGATATTCCAACAAAGTAAAGGGATTCCAACTAAGTCTACTGAACAAAATGCCATCGGAACACCATCAACGTTCATAACCGGATCAAGCCAGTCGAACCAGAAGAACAGTTCCTCCCGCCTGCTTGACCATGCCTCCTCAAAATCTTCCATCGAACCAAACATTAGGATACATGAGTTCCATGTGAATCCCCATTTAGCTCCCTTAACCTTAATCCCCTCACCAGCCAGCCCCTTCACCACGATCTCCAAATCTAAATGAGGTTTGATAATCCCAGTTAAAGATCTTTTCACCCAATTATAATCATCCGGGGGAATATGCATCTCCCACAAATTCCTCATCCCAGTAACCATACCTGAGAGACCCTCTCGGGTCCTTTTACTCACTGGAACTTCCCTCCTCCCATCAACAGAGACAACTGCTTCCTTATTCGGTCTTTCATAACTGCCCGCTCTATCGTACTCCTCTCTATCCTCTACGTTCACCACCTCTTTGTACGTTCTGCCGTCCCTAGGGCTATTCGGCTTCTCCAGAACCACCTGTTGCCTACCTTCCTCCCCTCTCACTTGCTTTTTTACTTCCCCCTGGAAACTTTTGTCATCAGTTGCTCTTCTCCTTTCCTTCCTATACTTTGCAACCCCCACTGAGACTCTTCTCCCATCTATCAATGTGTCATTGACATTCTGAATCGCTCTTCTACAACCTTCCTCCTTCGCATATTGCACAAAGGCAAAAGTCGATGACTTATAATTTGGTTTCACCATAAAACTTGGAATAAAAATCCTTATAACACGACCGTAAATATCAAAGATCTCTCTTAACTCTCTTCTAGTAACTCTCTTACTAAGATTATCTATGAAAACAGTCCATTCCTTATCGGAAGAAGAACGAACTGTCTCAAGCTCTCTATTTCTCTCTCTACCAGTCTCACTCATGATTTTTTTTTTTGAATGGGGCTAATTATCATTATACAATTGAAATTATTGACACGAAATTTTCCGGATAAGACAATGAATCTTCTGTAGATAGACTGATTTTCTAATTCGAAAACTTTATCATCCCAAAAACTCATTAAGCCCCCTGATGAGCCAACCGATGGAGATTCAAGGACTCCTTTAAAATAACTAAACCCCTATCTTCTAATCATAGATCTAGGAATCTTCTCCATTTTCGTTTCTTGCAGCTAAAGAAACTGTGGGTGATTTTTATTAATTAACCTCTGAATAGCCCTCTGCTTTTCTTTCCTCCTCAATCCTCTCACATTCCATGAAGCAATGATAAAATTAATCTTCATCATTAATTAGTCCACAATCTACATCCCCATCAAGCTCACCTTGATTGACCTTATTCAAAGCTTTCTCCAAGCTGATAATCTTATCCAGAAAAGCCTCCTTCCCTTGCTTAAAGGACACCCCCAATAATTTGCTGATTTCCCAAGTTGCTAAGGATTCCTCCACTAAAATCAAAAAATCTGAAGTAGAAACTGTTGAGATTGACACCTGTTCATAAGCATCCCTTAACAAGCATCTTTTAGCTCTTCTAAAGTCCGAGCCGGAAATGAATCTAGATCTATAACCTTTTGACAACTCTCTTGCAACCTCCATTTCCACTATCTGTTGAACATCTTTTGAGGGCTGAAAATTCTCCTCCTTATTGGTCCAATCCTCCTCTCTTTCATGAGAAACATTCAGAACACTCCCATGCCAGAATTTCCTGCTCGTCGACCTTGAATAAACCCTCTTATAGCTGTTTGTTTTCCTTTTCTCCAACGAGACACTTTTTGAAGACAGCAGTCTTTTATTTTTGTACCGCGATCTCCCCCTTGAGAAGCTTTCTGCCATATTTATACTTGGCTCTAACAACATTAACTGCTGCCCAACTTGTTTAACTTCAGCCTGAAGACACTTCTCTGAATCCGACTCATTTCTCTCTTCTTCATTAGAATTTCCAGAGCTAACATTTTTGTGCTTGAGGATCATTTTGCCAAACTTGTTAATATTAATTGTTGGACCAGCTGGAATTATTTTTGAGCCAACAAGCCCAGAAAATCCCTCATTATCTGATTGGGCCTGTGATCCAAAATCAGAAAATTTTGACTTTCTAATTCCTAAGCCGGCATAATAACCAACTTTTATACTCCCCATACTCTGACTTTCTGACAGTCCACCATTAATGCCATTCCTATCTATAGAAAGTCTACCGAGCTGTTTTCCCCCACAAACTTCCCCGGAATCAGAAAAGCCTCTATTGTCAAACCAACTGTCAACTTTTTGCCGAAAATCTTCTGTTGAAACATCTATATCATTCCCACTTTCTGACATCAATTTGAATTCTTCCTCTACAGTGACCTTCTCTCCACAACGTCCCTCACCGTGAACTTCCACCGGAGAGTTGCCAAAAAAAGAACTTGAAGACTGGCACGTCGATCCCACCTTGATGCACACTTTAAATGATCTTCCATAGGAACCCAGAGAGATCACCTCCGGAACATCAAAACAACTTTCCACCCTTAATAAAATTTTCGCCGTTGTGAGGTCTTTTTTCCTAGTGGCTTCATGAATGTCAACAACTATCCCCCATCTCCCTGCTATTTGTTCGAAGAACTGATCATTCCAGCATAACAGAGGGACCCCCACTAGTTCCACCAAACAAAAGGCCATTGGGACACCATCATCATTCAACAAAGGGGCTAATCGATCAAACCATAACTCTAGTTCTTCTTTCCTCTTCAACCAAGTATCCCTCATCTCTTCCGATGAATTAAAGACAATCACACAAGAATTCCACACGTCCCCATCTGATAATTTGGACTTCGAAACCCTCTTTAAATAGCGCCTTCTTAACTGACTCAATCTGCAATGAGTGTTTAATAATTCCCGTTAATGACCTTTTAACCCAATTGGAACTTTCAGAAGGAATATGCATTTCCAAAGTATTTTTCTTCACTTTCCCCCTATGAATATCATCGGATGAAATCGCCTTATTTCCCATTGCACTTATGTTTGACAACAAAGCCTCTTTATAAGACCTAGTATCCCTAAAACAATTGTTTAAAACTTTCGCCTGATTGGAATTGGATGTTCCAGCAATGTTCTGACTGAGGACCTTCTTTGAAGCAACCTTCCTTCCCTCAGACCAGGAAGAAGCTCCCTTATATCTTGCAGGACCAACTGAAATCTTTCTCCCATCTATCAGAACACCATTTAAGACCTCGAGATCCCTCTTCAAACCATCCTCACTCTTAAACTGAACAAAGGCAAACGTCGAAAATTTGTATTTTGGGTTCCTAGTGACTTTGGGAATGAAAACTCTCTCAATAGAACTATGGACTATGAAAATATCCCTTAATGAACGTCGGGACACCCTCCTACTAAGATTGTCGATGAACACCGTCCAGTTCTCATCGGAGACTGACTTTCCTTTGAGACTCTCCCTCTCTACGTTTTGCTCTCTCTCTCTCATATTTTGATGAAGTTGTCTCTGTTAGTTACGTTGGTTCATCATGATTGTCCCTTGATGCTTATAATGCAGTATGTTTAATAACTCATCAATAGCTTGGTTAGATGGCCTCCATGTTGATATTTTTATAGTTGCTTTTAGACAATTTCAGACATCTCGTTCGTAAGAAACTTGTGGATCGATGGAAAGAGTCTACTGCCAACCATAAAAATCATTCATTTTGTTTGTATGTATTATGTTACATCTGTCATGGGAAGAAATCCATTTATGTTACCTTGCTATTGATTTGAAATTACAGGGCAGGTTATTGGCGTTCATTCCACAAGCGAGCTGGACAGTAAGTTGAATGCTGCTACAAGAACATCTCGCCTGGGGATATTGTACTTCACAGCAACATGGTGTGGCCCCTGCCGCTTCATTTCTCCACTTTATACGAGCTTAGCTGCAAAATATGCAAAGGTAGTGTTCTTAAAAGTTGATATAGATGGGGGGGATGTAGCAGTCCGTTGGAACATTAGCAGTGTACCTACCTTTTTCTTTATAAGAAATGGGAAGGAAGTTGATAAGGTAGAAGGGGCTGATAAAAGTACACTTGAAAGGAAGATCGCCCAGTATGCAAGCTGATGTTGAGTCTATGCCTATGAATGAAAGCAAGGTAGACTCCAGCCATTTGTAATGGCCTTTTCTTATATGTTTGAACATATCAATAATGCCAAGACTTGGCAGTACCTTCGGAAAACTGTACCATAAGTGAGCTGCTGGGGAAAAATAAGTTCTCTTCAACCCTGGCATTTCCTTGCAACTTTTTCTTAACAAGCTGCTCATCATCTGTTTGATTATTCCGGTGTTTGTTAGCTATAAAAACATAAATGATTTATGTTTGGTGGACTATTTCAGAGTTGCAGAATTTTTTTAATAAAAAAATGTACACATAATGTTTAGGGGAAGACGATTAGGATACACAATGGGGCAGAGGAGAACAAGGAAGCTTTGAAGAAGTCAAGAGGTGAAGACGATGAAGATTTTCAGATATTGGAATATCAAGCGCAGAATGGGAATGCTGATGCTATGTACAAAATGGGACTATTTTACTATTTCGGATTGAGGGTTGTGCCGTGATCATTCCAAGGCTTTGATGTGGTTTTTTTTTTTGATAGGAATTTGAGGCCTCATTAAAAACCCCCCTCATGATTAGTGGAGCACCCAAGGGTGATCCCTAATCAGAGGAAGGGGGAAAAGAGTGCCTCGTTTTATTGATACAGCAAACACATACATACTACACAATAAGTATACACCTTACACACCAGCACACAACAGACTCCCGACACAGAGTACTGAAAACCGATACACTGACTCTTTCCTTTGTGCAGGCAAAAGAATACTTTGAGAAGGCTGCTGATAATGATGATGCTGGTGGGCACTATAACTTAGGAGTAATGTACCTTAAAGGGATTGGAATGAAGAAGGACGTAAAGATTGCTTGTAAATGTTTTATTGTGGCAGCTAATGCAGGTCAACCAAAGGCATTTTATCAGTTGGCTAAGATGTTTCATACCGGTGTTGGGCTTAAAAAGAATCTTCTTATGGTAAATATTATGGTTCATACTTATAGTTCCTTTTTTTTTACCTTTTCACCTTCTTATGAGTTCTATATCTTTATGAATAGCATACCTGAACTCCATTTTACTTCTGTGTATTTATGTTTTCTTTTCAAATTTTCACCCTGCCAAGTCATTCAAGGTGCATGATTTTTCACATTTTTTCTTAATTTTCATTGGACGCAGTAGTTTATCATTCTATTAAAGCAAAAGTTTGTTTTGACCTTTCAAGCTCCTTTGATAACTTAGCATTTTGCACCCAAAAGAGTTTGTTCTTTCTCTTACGAGAACTTTGTTTTTGTTGGCTATCATACGGTTGCCTGTCATGCCAAGAAGTGCCATTCATAGCAGACTAAATTATTTAATCACTTAAGCTGAAAATGTACAAAATTAAGGATTTTTCTCTTTTCCCAGGCTACTGCATTATACAAACTAGATGGGCACTTGAATCATACCTAAAAGGTGACATGGGCAAAGCATTCCTCTTGTACTCTAGGATGGCTGAACTAGGCTATGAGATAGCGCAGAGTAATGCTGCATGGATCCTTGACAAGTATGGTGAGCGCAGCATGTGCATGGGTGAATCTGGGGTTTGCACTGATGCAGAAAGGCATCAACGTGCTCATTCTTTGTGGTGGCAAGCTTCCGAGCAGGGTAACGAACACGCGGCATTACTTATTGGGGATGCATATTACTATGGCAGAGTAAATATCTTTAGTCTCAACAGAGAAGGCTTTGTCTAGTTTTGGGATAATCTTTACTTTATATTGCTTTCTTATTAATTGGCTGAGGTTTTTTGTAAATTTTATTTTTCTTCTTTCAGGGAACTGTGAGGGATTATGATTGTGCAGCCGAAGCTTACATACATGCAAAATCCCAATCAAACGCTCAAGCCATGTTAAACCTGGGTTTCATGCATGAGCATGGCCAAGGACTTCCATTTGATCTCCATCTTGCCAAGCGGTACTATGATCAGGCACTAGAGTTAGATCCTGCAGCAAAGTTGCCTGTCACACTGGCACTTGCAAGTTTGGGGGTACGGAAGAATTATGCTGGCAGTTTTTGGGTGAGTTACCCTTTGTGGTATATGTCCTCTTCTTGCCCCTCCTTACCCGAGCATGTCTTTAAGATCAAACTCTGTTCAATCTTTAATGCAATTATGTCCCATTCTCTTTTTCCAATCCTTACACTTGAACACAAGTAGGAACTTTTGGTTCACTGTTTTCCATTAATCATCCTCATTGTCTTACATTCCTGTCTTACAAAATGAAATGATTGGTACTCATTCCTTTTACCACACAAACTTTTACCTGTATAACCAGAGCGTAGCTTAACATCTTCTAGCCCTCTGAGGGCAGCTTGGCAGTGTAAAGATATTGATAATGAATGTTATGTCCTTGGCTCTTGATTGGCTCCTTGAGCGGTGATCAGAAAGTTCTGCTAAAAAGAGTTCATGGATCTCGAAATTATATTTATACTGGTTAGTGTAGTTAGGTCTTCTGATTTGTTGGTTTTTTGTTCTGATTAGGTCCAGATAATCGATTCCCTTCCTGAAGTTTATCCTAGAGTGGAAGCATGAGTGGAGAATGTGATCATGGAGGAAGGGAATGCAACAATATTGACTGTCTGTTTACTCACTGTTATATACCTTCGTGAGCGGCAATGCAGGCATGCTGTTGCTCTTGCAGGGGCTCACGAGCCTGATGAGCATGTTGTAGCCGCTGCTGGACGCTAGTTTTCGGTTGTGGTGATTCAGATTAGATGTGTTTCCGGATGAGTCATCTGAAAAGCAAGTTAAAACATCCATAGCAAAATGTATACATCTCGGCTCCTTTGATATTGTTCTAGAGAGCACCTACATTGTACCATAGAGAATATTTGAGCTGGGAAGAATTAACGTAAGTTTCGCATATCAAAACATTCTAATCGTTGCATAAATGCAACTTTTTACAACCGTCATTTTGTTTTTGTTGCTTTAATTGTTTTATTTGTATTCCACGCATAGTCATATTGCATCTGAAACCGTCAGTTAATTGATTGTTAAAACTATTCCGTTAACATTTCTGAGATGTACTATTAGTTTAATAACAATAGTTTGATTGGAAAATCGATTCTTTCACTTGGTATGAATTTAACAAGTCGTCTGACCTCTTTTGCCCAAGTGACGTAAATAATTCTGCTGATTTGTAATTTGAATACCAGATTTCTAGCTTGATTCATTTTTAATTTGTGGCGTTAGAATTATTAATCGTCTAAATTAAATTTGACATTTATACCTTGCTTAAAAAGTTGCCTGAAATGACTATACCACCGTCAAACCACAACCCAGACATTACCCCTGAGGTAACCACTTAATTTGTTGCTTTACCCGACAATACAAACTTTCCATCATCTTGCATAAACGCAAGTAAAAATTTGCACGATACATATTGTAACCACAAAAACATCATGCCCTTAAAATTCGAAACATCTACTCTCAATTAGGATCTAAAAATTGGCCAAAGGGAACAACAAATCACTTACCATTGTTCTCTTTAAAATTATATCACGCTAAAGCTTCATATCTTCTCTCCTAAGTTTATTAATTAATTGGACCGTTGAGGTCTCCATGTGTGCTCATCATGCTCGTTTGCTGGTTCTCCGGGACGTTCATGTTTGCACTTAAGACAAACCTGGTTCCTTCTGAAATTAACGAAATCACATCTGCAGAGGATAGTCTACTTGTAAGTAATATATCAATCAATCTTCCAATCGAAAAGCTGAATGTGAGAGGGATAATAGAGAGACATACGTTGGGCATTCCCATTCTCCAGGATTTAACTGTCTCTTAGGCCTTGCTTCTTGGCAGCGTAAACATTTCCTATTACTAGAAAAATTCATAAACCCACACCTGCATGCAGAAAATCAATATTACTATATGTATATGAATGGATCGAACTTAAAAATTTTGCAGTCCAGAAGCAAGTTAATCCTCCTTCCTCTCAAACAAAAATATAAAATTCTTTCTCCACGTCCATGACAAATATTCCATCAACCATAATTTTATTTCTCTTTTAAAAGACACCAAAATGGCCATTTTGTCATGCAAGCCTTAATTTGCAACAAGATGGCAAACATGGATGCCACAAAATCATCTAGCAGATCTTAAAAACGGGACTACAATAAATTCAATTTGATAGTATTATATTGAAGATGAATATTCTTGAAAAGCAAAAGAGATTCTTAACAACATAAACCACAAAGCCACTTACTCTGGGCAGTTCCAATCCCCTTTCTTCATTTGAACAACATCCGTTTCAACCTTATTAGGACCATCTGCTTTACACCTTAAGCACCGTTTATTTCTAGAGAAGTTCATGAAATTGCACCTACAACATATAAAAGCAACAAATAGTCAAGGTGGAATCAATAAACAGTCTGACCGTTGTCAAAAAAATAATTCCCACCTAATACCTATTGTAGTAGACCGTAAATTTAACTATAAACACTGCAAGTCAAACTTTTTAACCAACCAACCGACCATTATATAAAAGATATTTGAGATGTGGGTACAAAGAAAAACAAAAGTAATCAAAAGAAATAAGACTAAACAAACAAGTAGCAAAGGAGTTGGAACTCAAGAAAAACTTGGGGTAAAAAGACCCTCTAATTTTCTTTTAATTCAAAGAAAATAATAATGATAAGTTGTGGTTGTCATACTTTTACAGCTTATTTATACTAGGGTTACAAATATATTTAATCTTAGCCCTAGATTTAATAAAGGAAACTTATAATACTAGCCATCCAGAATATTTTTAATTTTAATGGAACTGAAATAAATAAATATTTATAATAATATAAGTTCTTGTGTCAATATGTCATTCAGACAAATTTGTAAATATATTAAATCAATTCTCAAATTATTATGAAATCTCTTAACAAACAAAGAGGAAGTGCATAACAATGTACTATAATATAAAATGACATTCTCACCCATTGAACACTGATAGAGCAACCAGTATACTTAGAAAGCATTAAATAATATATGCTGACAGATAAGATAAATGAGAACTTACTCCGAACAAATCCAATCTCCTTTCTTCATCTCAATTTCATCACCACGAACATTTTTAGGGCCATCTTCTTTACATTTTAGGCAATGCAGATTTCTAGAGAAGTTTAAAAAATTACATCTGCAATTAACAAGCAAAATTTCTTATAACTATGAAATTGTATGCAGGGATTTTAGAATGTAAAATCATAGGTGAATAAAATTTGTAACCATTCACTTTCTGTTCAACAAGATCACGAGCAATAACCTCAACAGCAACTAAGCTTCATAAAAAAACTTACTTGGGACACATCCAATCTCCTCTCTTCATTTCAACATTTGTGAACTCTTCATCATCATTGCCACTAAGTGTATTTTTCTTTCGGGTAGGAGCTTTAGCAGAAGATTTAGGAAGCTCAGCATTGCATGACGTGTCACTTAATTTTGTCAAGTCTGAAAGTAGATTCCTTGCAGATGCATCAATACGCTCTCTACCAGGAGGTTTCTCTCCCTCGGAAATAGCGAGGGGGTCAAGGGCATAGGATAATAATATGCGCACAATGTCCACAGTACGGGCAGCTGCTTCTGATTCCTTTAGTGTCACGTAAGCTCTATCACACGAACCACGCACATTGCAAGTACTACAAACCTGCAGAAAAATGCTTCAGTCTGACATGACTCTAGGCCGGTTTTCCATGACATAGGAGTCTTCAAAAAACAAATAAATTAAGAAACCACAGATTTAACATATGAAGAGCATATTTCATTCATAGTGAAATAAATGGTTAAAGATAAAAAAAATTGATGCTAAGAGATAACACCATACATCCCCTTCATCTATCTGAACATGGACTCTCAACCTTTTAGCTGAATTAACGGACTTCCTTAAAAGATTAGGACATCCACTCCCAACAACCGTTTCAATATCATCAGTAGACAACGATCTGCATTAAACGGAAGCGTGATAGTCAAATTTATTACCATGTTGATTATATATAAATTTACTGAAACAAAAGAGATAATCATCAGAATTCTACTTTCTTTTAACTTTCCAGAGACGTAAGCATAGTAATAATTTAGCATTTCACAAACAATAACCAATACTATGTTTAAGTGTTGCCTTTACTCTGTCATCAGCTTTATGAAATAACAAACCTAAATACTAGTATTTAGAAGGGGGAAATGCAAAGATAGCTTTTGTATTTACATTCAACCAATGAAATATTAATTTTAATCAAATATATAATTTTACGTGTAAAGAACATTTTAAGAGGTCAATACAAATAACCAAAAAAAAGTTTAAGAAAACAAAGAGCAAAAAGAACTTAGAGTTTAACTTATAGGAGAAATGGAAGTGGCAATAAGCTAATTGCATCAAAGCCAAAAGAGAAAGAGTGCATCAAAGCCAAAAGAGAAAGAGCCCGTTACTTGAAAAGATCGAAACGGTCGCGTGCAAAGCTGATGCAAGCGTCTTTGACAAAATTCATGTCCTTATAATCATTGGCAGCATCGGAAGCGGCAGAATTATTAGCTTCAACAAAGTAACCCTTGGACTTTAACCTATCAATGAAAGTGACCCATTCGGGCCAGGGATGGGATTGAGGCGCCGAATCGAGAGGCTCATCGGCGGCGCTGTCGGAATTAAGCGTGTCGAGGGGGGCAGCAGAGGAAGTGTAGCGGCGGGAAAGGGTGGGAAAGGGTTTTGAGGAAACAGAAAGAAGGAGAGGCTTGCGAGCACGGATGAGGGAGGAGTTAAACAGTAAGAAAGTTGAAGCTGCCATTTTTCTTGGTAGACTGCAAGTTAAAGACGATGAGAGGAAATTTTGTAATGTGGCCATTGAAATGAAAGCTGTTCCGGTAACTTCAATCTTTTAGGGTTTTAGATAAGGAAATGACTATACAGGGTTCCAGTAGGCTATAATACATTTTCTTTCCTTAATTTGGTTTAATTAATTTTTTTAATCTAATTAAAATTCTAAATTCAATTTTAATATTTTTTTGTCAATCACCGATATCCAATTTATAAATCAATTGATCAAGATCAAATATTGTAAAGGTGAGGACGACACTCATAACCCAATTTACTTTATTAGTTAATATAAGATTTGAACATCTAATTTTATTTAAATGATCTAGTATCTCCTTCTACTAGATTAATTTATTGTTAGTAAATTTAATTTAATTTAAAAACTTCTTTCAAAATAGGTATTTAAATTTACAAATAAATTTAATTTTATAATATAAATTGATTCAATTAGATTATTTATCAAAAGAATCCATTTAAATAGATAAATGAAATATATATTAGCTTAAAATTAAATAATCAATTAAAAACTTTTAATGTTTAATTAACCCTTAAAATTAAAATTAAACATCAAAATTTATATTTATCAATGCACAATTATCATAATTAAATAAGTAAATAAAAACCACACGCATGTAACTCGGTACTAAATCCCTTAGGGTGCGTTTGGTTCACGGAATGTAAGATTACCAGTGGGAATAAAAGATTACCAGGGAATAGGATTACTGGGAATGTTGTATTTTGTGTTTGGTTGGTTTAGCAGGAATGTAAGATTACCGTGTTTGGTTAAAGGAATAAAAGATTATTGGAATGTATATTTGACCAAATTGTCCTTATTATATATTTGTATAATATTACAAATTGTAAAATATTTATATATTTTATTTAAAAAATTAAATTCATAATATTTATATAATTTTTTTACAAAATTAAAAATATAAAAAATGTTTAATGAAAGGGTAAAAAAATTTAACCTCTAAACTTCATATAAAATTTTAATTATAGACTTTTTTTGTAAATCTAAAATAATTTAAGGATAAATTTGTAATTTAACATTCGTAGGATTTTTATTATTCAATGACAGAAGAAGGATATTTTTGAAAAAAAAATAAAAATTTAAGGGTATTTTAGTCCAAAACGCCGGTAATGTTACAATACCTAAGGGAAGGGAGGTAATGACATTCCCGGTAATATACCCCCAAAAATCTACTATCGGTAATAAAACATTACCAGGAATGAGATTCCCAACCAACCAAACATAAGAATGTGAGATTCCCCATTCCTTGAACCAAACACCCCCTTAGTGGAAGTAGAAATCTCAAACACAGCGGCCTCATCCACTCACTGCCAAATATCATCAGAACCCACCCTAACCGTCACGCCTCCCTCTCTCTCTCTCTCTTAATCTTTTTCGTTTCCTTTCCCATTCAAATTTATAGGGCCTGACGGCGGCCGTCATGGCATCTCACGCCGCCAATCTCTGGGTGCTTCTAGGCTTGGGTTTAGCTGGGATTTTGCTTATGACCAAAAAGCTTAAGAAAACCATTAAAGCTGACTTTGGGGCTTTTATTCAGAAGCTAGAGCTGCTTCCGCCTCCTCAGCCTGCTCCTCCTAAAGCTCCCCACCCTCTCACCGGTCTCAGTTTCGCCGTCTCTGACGTGTATGCTGTTTCCCCCTCTTATATCTTTGAGCCTGTTGTGGTTTTTGGAATAGCGGAAATTAATGAATTAATTTTGTTCTTGTTTTGTTGCCACTGTTAATAGATGAGTGATGGGAATCGGAAATTAATATAACTTATTTTGTTTTTTGTTTAGTTGTCACTGTTGACTGCTGCATTTATTTTTTCACATGAGATAAGTGCTCAAGGCTAGTGCTCAAGGCTAATGCTCAATATGAATGGCATCTATTCTTTAAGGAAAGAGAAATCCAAAATTGTTTATGGGGCAGTTTTGCTTTAAGGTTTCAGCTGCCAATGGAGTGCCGTAGGGTCGTTCAACTTAGTTGAGTGTAAACTATTTCTGTTTTGTCCGTTACTAATTCAATTTTGTGAAGCTAGCTCTCTATTCTAGGAAAACAATATCATTCGAATTCATGAACCCTTAATAAAGGTTTGCTTCTTTTTTATATATACATTTTAATGAATTTGAAATTGAATCATTAAAAATGGAAAATTAATTATTTTAAACAAAATATTATTCTTCAATATCTACATGGCTTCTAATAGGTGATATATGCTTCACTTATCAGATTTGACATTGAAGGATATGTGACTGGGTTTGGCCATCCAGACTGGTTGAGGACACGTGAAGCATCTTCTCGCACATCTCCTGTGGTTTTGGCCCTTGTTGAAGGAGGTGCTACTTGTGTTGGGAAGACTGTTGTGGATGAACTGACATACAGGTACTTGCTGTTCTAAACTGTTTACCTGAACAGCAGGCTTTAGGTTTACAATGATGTGTAGGAACTAAGAGAAATGGATGTAAAGTAAAGAGAAAGGAGGGAGAATTTAGAGGGAATGGTTACTTGTTAATTTTCTAATATAAGATAGAATTACACTTATTTTGACATTTTATTTGCCAGACAAGGTTGTAACGTTCTCCCTTCCTTTTCCCTCTTATATTTTTAAGCTATGCAACGGCAGCCAAACCCTTTCCTCTATATTTTATCAGCTATGAGCCTCAAAGAATATGTGGTGCCGTATTTACTAAAATTGGAAATCTATCTTGTTTTAGAAAGAATAGTCATTAGATGCGATTTAATCTTTTGGCTCTTAAGACTTGCAAGATGCCAGCTTTCTTTTGCATGTTTGGTTTTCAGTATCCATGGAGAGAATAAGCACTATAGCACACCAACCAATCCTGCGGTACCTGCACGCTTTCCAGGTGGATCCTCTAGTGGAGCAGCTGTTGCTGTTGCTGCTAATTTTGTGGACTTCTCCTTAGGTGAGCTTTATGCTTCTGACTGCTTAACTTTCTTAGTTTCAGGCTTTATGTGAGTCCAATTTGAATTGTTTAGTTCCAGGTGAAGTAATATTCTTCACTAAAAATATATGTAGCTTTAATATCTTAGGATATGCGACTACACTGTAGTTATTCTCAAGTAGCAATCTTTTGGATATCTAATATTGCTATTGAATGGAAGTCTGATTTTCATAATGCATCACTTTGATCAAACATGATGAGATCTTTGTGATCCTGTATAATATTATATTTTAGAATACCCATCATGAAATTGGCTCTAATTTTTCATATAATATTCTGTGAGTAGGCATTGATACCCTAGGCGGCGTGAGGGTACCAGCAGCGTTTTGTGGAGTTATTGGATTCCGCCCCTCGTATGGCATTATTTCTAACACTGGAATTATACCTGTTTCAACAAGCCTAGATACTGTTGGTAAGTATGGAAGATAATCAAATGATATGTTATGCAATACAAAATTTTAGATGTTGCTATATGACATATGGGGATTTAAAGTTAACTTGATTTGAGTGTCATTGAAAGTGGTTATGATTTGATTCAAGTTTCTCAGATTATTTCCTTGTATGAAAGAAGCTTCGTGACATGCTTTAGGTGTTTTCCCATGTTTTGATTTGAGTGTCTTAAAAGCAATTTTCTTTGCTTTCTGTTGTTTTCCTCTGAACTTAGTTATGAAAAGAAGGTTTTTTGAATGGATATATGCCTGTTAAATGATAATGTTTCTAACTAATTCAAGAATCTAAATATTTTTATTAGGATAATATTGATTACAAACTTGTATATCTTTGTTTCTCCCATTTGTCCCGGGAAAATGAATTTTAAGATCCAATCACGAATTTAAAAAGAAGATAGGAACCAAACTTATTGACCAAAAATATAGTTGATGAATGAGCTGTTTTAAGATTTTAAGGTTGCACTGATGGCTAGGTTTGAAGATTATAGTGGCATTTGAAAATTACACAAACACAAGCACGTACACACACACTCGCACAGAGAGAGAGAGAGAGAGAGAGTTATAAGGGTATTGCATTAGTCAATCCTTTCCTTTCCCCCATCTTTTCTCCAAATTGGGGTAATTGGAAAATGGGGAGACTCAACCCCATTCCCTTTCCATTAATTTAAAAAGTAACTAAGCAAGGATATAGTTTCTTTGGTCAGTTGTCGATTCCTTTCCCTAATCTCCCCACAATCCAAGCATAGTTTTCTTTGTGCATCAGAAAGCTGAATTTAGGCTCTTAGCAGAGATGTATTAGGTGATGTTCACATAACTTATGATCATGCAATATCAATCTGTCACTTGCCTGTGAAACTACTATTGCAGGATTGTTTGCTAAGGATCCTAATGTTCTACTTCGAGTTGGCCTTGTGCTCTTGCAACTTCCATATTCTGCTCAACGCAATCCAAAGCAAATTCTATTAGCTGATGATTGTTTTCAACTGCTAAAGATTCCAGCAGACAGAGTTTCACATGTGGTGATTAATTCCACTGAGAAGCATTTTGGAAGTATGTTTAAGGGTTTATGTAAATGAATTTGTTTTGCTTTGTTGTTTACAGTTGAGTGGAAACTGATAACTTTATTTATGTAAGGACAAGGTTTGAAGCATGAAAATCTTGAGAAGTACTTCAGTTCTAAGGTCCCAAGCTTGAAGGACTTCTATAGCCTGAAAATAAATGGTGATTCAAAAATTTCATCCTTGATATTGCTCGCAGAAGTGGCACAGTTTCTTCAAAGGTGAAATTTCATCTTAATGGTGTATGTGATCATGTTAACATTTGGTGTTATTTCCTCCGCCGAAGGATTTTCCTTTTTTCTCCTAATTTTCCCCCATAAGTGTGCAATACTTTTATGGTTTACATTCTTCTGCAGTTTTTAGTGTGATTTTCTGAACAACATCCTTTTGTGTTTTGTTTTTCTCATTTTCACTTGAACCATGAAGTAAGAATCTTTTTTGGTGGGGGAAGAGTATCCTTATTGAAGGATTAAACATTCAGATAGTGTTATTAACTTTATATACTTTTCAAGGTTTAGTTGTATTTCTAGTATTCAGGTATTGTTAGGACA